GAGGACGAAGAAGAGAGGAGAAATGGAGGAAAGGCGCTAGAGAGCAAGAATGAAAGAAAGCAAGAAAGCAAGCAAGCAAGAAAGCAAGAAAGAAAGAAAGCAAGAAAGAAAGAAAGCAAGAAAGAAAGAAAGAAAGAAAGAAAGAAAGAAAGGAAAGAAGGTAAATACGAGAGAGGAGAAGGAAGGGACAGGCCGGCCTCCCGCCAGGAAGCTGACGCGGCAGCAGAACGAGAAATAAAACCGAATCAAGAACCGAAAAACGAAGAGCTAAAAATCGAAAACGAAATAAAGAAAAGAGAGAAAAAAGAACAAGAAAAAAAGAGGGAGAGATGGACGGGAGGAAGGGGGAGGGAGAGGGGAGGGAGGAGGGAGGGAGAGGGAGAGAAAGGAGACAATTCCTTTTTCTCACCTCTCCTCCTAATCCTCCCTCCCCCCCCTCCCCCTCCCCCCATCTGGACCCCCCGTGATTGGCCTCGGTCGGACGCCCCTCCGTCGGCGGGGGGGGGGGGGATCCCTCGCTCTCGCCCTCTTGCTTTCTCTCTCTCTCTCTCTTTCTCTCTCTCTCTCTCCTTTTCTCTCTGGCTGTATTTCTGTCTCTATCTCTTTCTGTGTCTCTGTTTGTGTCTGTCTCTCAAATTTGTTTTTAATTTCCTCTTATTTTCATATGCTATTTTTTTTATACATACATCATGCATTCATACATACATATACATATTCAAGTAAATATACATACATCCATACACACATATTCATCTATTCACTTAGTCTATTTACTCTCCCTCCTTCCCTTCCCCTCCCACCCCACGATGACGTCACAGCTCCTCTCAAGTGTTTTAATTCTGAGTTCCCGGGAGTTGCTCGACCCGGTACAAATCCCCTTAAAAGAACAGTTCCCCAGTTCTTCAGTTCTGTAATTCCTGTAACTCCTTCCCGGTTTACCTATTCCGAAAGGTAATCGCTTTCCTAGTTCCACGCTCACCATTTATGTTAACCGGTCGTCAAGTTTTCAGTGTTTCAGTCCTCAGTTCTTCGGTTCGTCAAGTCCCCAGTTCTCCAAGTACTCAGGGCTCCAGTACTTCGGATCCTCAAGTCCCCAGTCCTTCAGTTCAAGTCCCCAGTTCTCCAGGTACTCAGGGCCCCAGTACTTCGGATCCTCAAGTCCCCAGTCCTTCAGTTCAAGTCCCCAGTTCTCCAAGTACTCAGGGCTCCAGTACTTCGGATCCTCAAGTCCCCAGTCCTTCAGTTCAAGTCCCCAGTTCTCCAGGTACTCAGGGCCCCAGTACTTCGGATCCTCAAGTCCCCAGTCCTTCAGTTCAAGTCCCCAGTTCTCCAGGTACTCAGGGCCCCAGTACTTCGGATCCTCAAGTCCCCAGTCCTTCAGTTCAAGTCCCCAGTTCTCCAGGTACTTAAATCCCCAGTCCTTCGGTTCCTCAAGTCCCCAGTTCTCCCGGTACTCAAGGCCCAAGAACCTGGGCTCCTCAAGTCCCCAGTTCTCCTCCAGTTCTCCCCCAGTTCCTCGATTTTCTCATTCTCTTCTCCCCCCCCCCCCCCCCCCCCCGCGTTCCCCATTTATAAGTCTCCCCTCGAAAGGGAAGTTGACTTAAACGCGTCTGGAATAAACTCGATGTTTAAAAAAGAAATTCCTTTACTTTTTTCCATGTTCTTTACCTTTGTTTTCTTCAAATTTCTTAACTTTTTTTTTATTTTTATTTTCTTTTCTATTTTCTTTACCTTTACCCTTTTTATTTACTTTTTTTTTATTTTCTTTACTTTTCCCATTTTCTTTAACTTTTTTTTCCCAATTTTCTTTACCTTTTTCCATTTTCATCGTAGGAATGAATTGTAGGTAGTGAAAAATATATATTTTGAACTTATAAAACAAACAATTTAAAGAAAAAAAAAAGGAAAAAAGGAAAAAAACCGAGTCGGCAACCCATCATACTTATCATTACTTTCTGTTATTATCATTACCATTATCGTTATCGTTATCATTATCATCATCATCATTATCATTATTATCATTATCATTATCCTCATTATCATTAACATTGTCATTGTCAGTGTCACTGTCATTATTATCATCCTCATCATTATCATTATCATTATCATTATTATTATTATTATCATCATCATCATCATCATTATTATTTGAAAATTTTCTGACTTTCCTTTTTTCTATATCTTTATATTCTTGTTTACTCTTTTCCTCTCCTTACTTTTTGTACAATTTGCATTTTTTCTGTTATTCTTTACTCGTTTCTGTCTATTACCCTTTCTTCCATTTTTTTGTTCTTCTCTGCTTATTACTTATTATCATTAACTTTTATTATTAATTCCAATCTTTTATTTTCTTATCTTTTGTAGTTTCTTCTAATTACTCTCTCTCTTCTTATCTACTCTCTTGTTCTGCTTATTACTCGTTTATCTTACTTTTTCCTCTTTCCTCTCACGTTTATTACCCTCTTTCATTCTCCCATTTTCTTTTACTTTTTACTATTTCGTCAATTTTTCTTCTTTCCTTTTTTATTTTCTTTAATTTCTTTCTTTCGTTCTCCTATTTCCTTTTATTCTTTATTCTCCTTCTTCCTTTTTACTTTTTTCTTTCATTTCTTTCTCTCATTCTCCCATTTCCTTTTACTCTTTACTCCTATTATTTTTCTTCTCTAATTCTCCGATTTTCTTCTATTCTTTACTCTTTCTTCTTCTTTTTATTTCCATTCTCCCATTTCCTTTTACTCTTTACTCTCTCTTCCTTCCTCTCTCTCTCTCTTTTTCTGACCATCATACGCAGCATCCTTTCCAGAGTGCGTCTTTAAAGTACAGACTGAATTAAAAAGAGAGAAGAGAAGAGAGAAAGACAGAAAGAGAGAGAGAGATAAAGAGAGAGAGAGAGATAAAAAGAGAGAGAGAGAGAGAAAAGAGAGAGAGAGAGAGCGTGAGAAAGAGAGAGAGCGAGAGAAAGATAGAGTGAGTGAGTGAGTGAGTGAGTGAGAGAGAGAGAGAGAGAGAGAGAGAGAGAGAGAGAGAGAGAGAGAGAGAGAGAGAGAGAGAGAGAGAGAGAGAGAGAGAGAGAGAGAGAAGAGGGAGGGAGAAAGATATATATATATATATATATATATATATATATATATATATATATATATATATATATATATATATAGAGAGAGAGAGAGAGAGAGAGAGAGAGAGAGAGAGAGAGAGAGAGAGAAAGAATGAAAGAAGAGGGAGAAAGAGAAAGAGAGAGAGAGAGAGAGAGAGAGAGAGAGAGAGAGAGAGAGAAGAGGAAGGGAGAAAGAGAGAAAGAGAGAGAGAGAGAGAGAGAGAGAGAGAGAGAGAGAGAGAGAGAGAGAGAGAGAGAGAGAGAGAGAGAGAGAGAGAGAGAGAGAGATATGGAAAGGGGGAGAGATGGAGAGAGAGAGAGAGAGAGAGAGAGAGAGAGAGAGAGAGAGAGGAGAGAGAGAGAGAGAGAGAGAGAGAGAGAGAGAGAGAGAGAGAGAGAGGGAGAGAGGGAGAGAGGGAGAGAGGGAGAGAGGGAGAGAGAGAGAGATTGAGAGAGAGAGATTGAGAGAGAGAGATTGAGAGAGAGAGAGAGAGAGAGAGAGAGAGAGAGAGAGAGAGAGAGAAAAGAAAGACTAGAAAAAAAACTATGATAAAAAGTGTCAGAAAACAACAACAACAACAACAATCACAAAATCTATTCGACTTTTTCTTCGTCACATTCTGATAACTTCTGATTGTGACGCCTTCTGCATGTCTGTCTGTCTGTGTCTCAGTTTGTTTAACTGTTTGTTTGTCTGTTTGTTTGTCATGTCTGTCTGTCTGTCTTCTTATCATGTATGCCTATTTGTATCTCTCTGTCTGTCTCTCTCATTCTGTTTGTCTCTCTGTCACTCTCTCTCTCATTCTTTTTGTCTGTCTGTCTCTCTTTCCGTGTATGTTTGTATGTATGTCACAATATCTTCCAATGCAACACCTTATCAATACCTTCCACCTAATTTCTCGCCCTCCTCCTCTCATCCCTCCCCCCCCAAAAAAAATATATATATATAACTCTTAAAAAAAAAATCTCTCCCTTCCCACTCAAAAAGAAAGAAAGGAAAAAAAATATCCACCTTCTGCTACCATCCACCTACTCTTCTCCACTTTATACCTTATACACTACTCCACCATCACTCTTCACCCACTATCTTCCACCTCCCCTCCGTCACTCCCTCAGTACTTACGTTTATAACGACTCTCCCCTCCACTCTACCTTTCCACATTCCCCCTCCACCTATCCTCCCCCTCTCCACCTTCTACCCCCCCCCGCAGTACATATATTTATAACGACTCCTCCACCTTCCCTCCACGCTCTACCATCTCCCTTCCACCTCCCCTCTCCCCTCATCCACCTTCCCTCCACCCTCAGTACTTACATTTATAACGACTCTCTCACAGAAGTCGTGGTCGTGGGCTTTTGGCTCAAGATTCCCTCATCCACCTACCCTCACCTCCCACCCCTCATCCACCTTCCCCTCCCCCACCCCTCATCCACCCTCTATATCTCCACCTCCCCTCTACCTTCCCTCCACCCTCAGTACCTACGTTTATAACGACTCTCTCACAGAAGTCGTGGTCATAGGCTTTCGGCTCCAGATTCCCTCATCCACCTCCCCTCCACCTCCCCCCTCCCCTCTCCCCTCACCCCCCTCCCCTCCACCCTCAGTACTTACGTTTATAACGACTCTCTCACAGAAGTCGTGGTCGTGGGGTATTGGCTCCAGATTCCCTCATCCACCTTCCCTCCACCACCCTCCCCTCCACCCCCCCCCTCCCCTCTCCCCTCATCCACCTTCCCTCCACCCTCAGTACTTACGTTTATAACGACTCTCTCACAGAAGTCGTGGTCGTGGGGTATTGGCTCCAGATTCCCTCATCCACCTTCCCTCCACCTCCCCCCCCTCCACCCCCCCCCCCTCCCCTCTCCCCTCACCCCCCTCCCCTCCACCCTCAGTACTTACGTTTATAACGACTCTCTCACAGAAGTCGTGGTCGTGGGGTATTGGTTCGAAATTCCCGGCTCCAGTGTAGGGCGTCTGATTGTTAGGGCCGTCATCATCTTGACTAGTTATCTTGGGTAGTGACCTGCGCGGGGGGGAGAGAGAGGAAGAAAAAGATTAGTTGAGGCTTTACGCTGTGGGAGATGAATTGGATAAATAGATATAGATATAGATAGAGAGAGATAGATAGATATAAATACATATATAGATAGATAGATAGAGAGAGAGAGAGAGAGAGAGTGAGAGAAAGTGAAAGAGAAATAAAGAGAAGGATAATGAATGAACGAGAGAAGGAGAGAATGATCGAAAGACACAAATAACAGACCAAGATGGCAAAACACACACACACACACACACACACACACACACACACACACACACACACAACACACACACACACACACACAAAAGCAGTCGGACCTCCCTCCCCCCTTCCCCCCTTCCCCCTCCCTTTACACAAGAAGCACATGAACCTAACTAGCAACATATGCAACACGAGTGATCAACATTGCAATAGCACGAACAGCAACAAGCAACAAGTAGGTAATGCAAAATATCACGCAGAATAATAAGAAAAAAAAATCACAGCAAAGGCCGCGTTTAGTGTGTGAAGGAAAAAGGCTATGGTTAATATAGACCTTAATTTTTATCATTATCTATTATTATCATTATTATCTAGTTATTCTTCGTTAATTATTTTGTTATTTTTGCTGTTTACTTTCAGGTTTTCTCTTTTTATTTTATTTTCTTTCGTTATTTCCGTGTTTGGTTGATGTGTATAGAGGAAACGGAAGAAGAATATGAAGAGGAGAGAGAGAGAGAGAGAGAGAGAGAGAGAGAGAGAGAGAGAGAGAGAGAGAGAGAGAGAGAGAGAGAGAGAGAGAGAGAGAGAGAGAGAGAAGGAGAGAGAGAAGAAGAGAGAGAGAGAGAGAGAGAGAGAGAGAGAGAGAGAGAGAGAGAGAGAGAGAGAGAGAGAGAGAGAGAGAGAGAGAGAGAGAGAAAGAGAGAGAGAAAGAGAGAGAGAGAGAGAGAAGGAGAGAGAGAAGAAGAGGGAGAGGGAGAGGGAGAGGGAAAAGGAGAGGGAGAGGGAGAGGGAGAGGGAGAGGGAAAGGGTAAGGGAAAGGGAGAGAGGGAGAGAGGGAGAGAGGGAGAGGGGGAGAGGGGGAGAGAGAGAGAGGGAGGGAGAGAAGAAGAGAGAGAGAGTGATTGAGAGAGAGAGAGAGAGTGATTGAGAGAGAGAGAAAGAGAAAGAGAGAAAGAGAGAGAGAGAGAGAGAGAGAGAGAGAGAGAGAGAGAGAGAGAGAGAGAGAGAGAGAGAGAGTGAGAGAGAGAGAGAGAGAGAGAGAGCATGAGAAAGCCCGAAAAAGAGGTAGATAGATAGATAGACAGACAGACATATGGATAGATAGAGAGAGAGAGAGAAGAACAGACAGCCAGATACCGAAAAAAAACAGACAGATAGACAGACAGATAGATAGATAGAAAGAGAGAGTGAGAGAGAGAGAAGGAGAGGAGCGCGTGGTGTGTGTATGTATTGATCATATCTCACACTCCCTCAGCCCCCCCCCCTCTCCCCGTCTCCCCCATCCCTTCCTACCTAGTGTAAACGCTGCTGCTATTGTGTGTTTGTGTTTGTGTTTGTGCGTGCGTGCGTGTGTGTCTGTGTGTTTGTGATTTTGTGTGTGTTTGTGCGTGTGTGTGTGTTTGTTTGTGTGTTTGTGTTTGCGTTTGTGTTTGTGTTTGTGTGTGTGTTTGTGTTTCTGTTTGTGTATTAGTGTGTGTGCTCGCGCGTGTGTGTTTGTGTTTGAGCGTGTATTGGTCTACCTGTATTCGTTACATCTACATGTATATATATCTACACGTACATATACGCATGAACATAAGTGTACGGGAAAATTCGTTCAAGAAATACCAGTTGCATGAATCAGAAACACAGACTACACGCAAGCAGTCACGCTTTGCAACAGATAGCAGTTGCAATGGCAGAAAAATCTTTCAAACGACAAAGCAACACAAACAATAGTATTTGCTTATATTATTCCATATAATATATATAAGATAAATATAGCGGTAAAGCATAATATCAGGTGTATTGTAATAGTGATGATGGTAATAATAATAACAATGATAAAGATAATGATTATGGCAATGATAGTGATAATAATAATAATAACGATAATGATAATGATGCTACTACTACTACTACTACAAACAATGATAATAACAACAATGATAAGTATATAATGATGAGGTTGATGATAATGATAATAATGATAATAATAGTAATAATAATAATAGTAATAAGTAATAGTAATAATAATATAATAATAATAATAATAATAACAATAATAATAATAATTATAACAATAATATTAATAATAGCAACAAAAGAACAATGATAATAATAATGACAGTCGTGGTAATCATAATAATGATGACTATAATAAAAAATACTACTTCTATTACTATTGCAATATCTATAGCAATGACAATAATAATAACAATAATCCCAATGACAACAACGACGACGATAATAATTCAACAGTAAAAGGAATAAAAATAACGACAACAATAATGATAATAACAATAATTCTAATAAAAAACAGCACCAATAGTAGTAGTACTAGTAGTAGCAGTAGTAGTAGTAGTAGTAGTAGTAGTAGTAGTAGTAGTAGTAGTAGTAGTAGTAATAGTAGTAGTAGTAATAATAATGATAATAATAATAATCATAACAATAATAACAATAATAATGATGATGATAATGAAGATAATAATGATGATGATAATGAAAATAATAATAATGATAATAATAAAAAATAATAATAAAATAATAATAATAATAACAATGATAATATTAACTATAATAGTAATAACTATGACAATAATAATAATGATAATAATATTAACTATAATAGTAATAACTATGACAATAGTGATAATGATAATAATATTAGCAATAATGATAATAATAATAAAAATGATAATTATAATAATAAGATTAAGAAAATAATAACAATGATGATAAAAACAGTAGTAAAAATAACAATAACAATGATAATAATTATGATAACAGTAACAAAAACAGTAATGATAATGATATTAAAAACAACAACAGCAATAAAAGAAAAGAAAACAAATGGTGAAGAACAAAACAAAAACAAAACAAAAAAACAAAAACTAAAAATAGTAACAAAAACTACAGAAAATAATGATGATGATGAAGATAACAAGAACAAAAGAAACAGACAATAAAAACAGTGATGATAATGATGATGATGACAATAATATCAATAATAATAGCAATAATAATAACAATAACCACAATAATAACAATGATGATGATAATAATAATCATAGCAACACCAATAAGAAAAATGGGAATGCTAGTAATAATAATAAACTTGATAAACAACAACGTAAATAGAAAATTAAGCACAAACAACAAAAATGATAATATTTCCTTTTTACAGATATTCCATTTCGGACAATTACGATTATCGAAAAAGAAGAAGAAGGAGAAGAAGAGAAAAAGAAGAAGAAAAAAATAATAAGAGGAGTAAGAAGAAAAGAATAAATAGAAGAAGAGGAAGAGGCATAATAACAAGAAAGAAGAAGAAGAAGAGAAAGAGGAATGATAATAATAGGAAGAGGAGTAAGAAGAAAAAAATAAATAGAAGAAGAGGAAGAGGAATAATAACAAGAAAGAAGAAGAAGAAGAGGAAGAGGAAGAAGAAGGAAGAGGAAGAAAGAAGAGAAAGGGGGAAGGAGAAGGAGGGGGAAGGTAGGAGAAAAAGGAGGAAGGGAGGGGAGAAAGGGGGAAGGGAGGAGAGAAAGGGGGAAGGGAAGAGAGAAAGGGGGAAGGGAGGGGAGAAAGGGGGAAGGGGAGGGGGGGTGAATTCCTGGAGAACAAAGTGTTGATGGAAATTCCTGGATTTTCAGAGACAATTAGGACGCGAAGGAGGATCACGTGTCGAGATAAAGGCAGAGATGGGGAACGAGAGAAAGAGAGAGAAAGGAGAGACAAAGACTAAAACAAAGAGAAAAAAAACAAGAGAGAAAGAAAAACAGAATGAGAAGAGAGAGAGAGAGATGGGAGATGAGAGATGAGAGAGAGAGAGAAGAGAGAGAGAGAGAGGAGAGAGAGAGAGAGAGAGAGAGAGAGAGAGAGAGAGAGATAAAATAGATAGATAAAAGATAGTAAATAGGATAGATAGATGAGAGAGGCACAAAAAAAAGAGGAGAGAGAGAGAGAGAAGAGAGAGAGATGGAGGAGAGAGAGAGACGCCGAGATGGAGAGCGAGAGAGAAGAGAGAGAGGAGAGGAGAGGAGAGAAGAGAGAAAGACGAGGGAGAACTAGAAGCAAGAACGGAAGAGGAGAGAGAAGAGAGGAAAGAGAGATTGAGAGAGAAAATCAAATCAAATCAAATCAAATCACTATAAAACACCAACACCAACAACAATAATTAACCACGCCAAACAAAAAAAAAAAAAAAAAAAAAAAAAAAAAATAGAGAGAGAGAGAGAGAGAAAAAAGGAAAATTCAAAAATTTCAAGAATACCGTAACAAAACACCGACCGAAGAAAAATAAATTCAGCAGCAACTACTCTCTCCCTGCTGACCCTTCCCTTCCAAAGGTCACGGGATGAGGGAGCGAAGGAGGTGGGAGAGGAATTGGGAAAGATGCTGCGGGGAGGAAGAGGGGAAACGGATGGTGGGAGAAGAGAGAATGGGAGGGAAAGAGGAGTGAGAAAGGGAGGGGGAAAGGAGAAAGGAGAGATAGGGGAGGAAAAGAGGAGGAAATGAGAGAGAGAGAGAGAGAGAGAGAGAGAGAGAGAGAGAGAGAGAGAGAGAGAGAGAGAGAGAGAGAGAGAGAGAGAGAGAGAGAGCGAGAGAGAGAGAGAGAGAGAGAGAGAGAGAGAGGGAGAGATAGGGGAGGAAAAAGAGGAGAAAATGAGAGAGAGAGAGAGAGAGAGAGAGAGAGAGAGAGAGAGAGAGAGAGAGAGAGAGAGAGAGAGAGAGAGAGAGAGAACGATAAAGAGACAGAGGCAGAGAAAGAGCAAGAAACACAGATACAGAGGAAAGAG